AACGAACATACGAACAACGAACATACGAACAACGAACATACTCCGTTTTTAGTTGTCCCCCTCCTACAGTGCTGCTATTGCCAGTATCACTCCACCCCCTGTTAACAATAAGTGTTAATTAGGTGTCAACGATAGCCATGTGATGTGAGTATCAGTCACACGGAGGCAGGGCTTAAAAGCCTGAATTTAGCCTGAAACTCTCAGACTGAAGAAGTCTCTTGGAGGAGAGACAAAACGTTTCATTAGAGAAGAAACCGTCCAGAAGACCTATACAATTTTTTTCTTTTTGATTTTTTACCTGGATTACTGAGATGCATCAGGACAAAATCTTACAATGACTTGCCTATGGGAGTCTGGAGCGGCGAACAACTGGTGACCAGGAAGTGACTCAACACGGAAAAGTTCATGAGTAAAATGGAAGTTTACACATCAACAACTTTACAATATTTATTTTACTTACCAGAAAACATATATATATATTTTTTAAAACATTTATAATATTTCATTTTGTTTTTTTAATTTTTTTATTTTTTGTGTCCCAAGAACAGTAGTGGGGTGGCACCCTAGCGCCCCCTATTGACCAGCCGCCACTGGTGGTGAGACTGATTGCCCACTTTCCCCCCTGCATGCCAATGAGAGTGCCCACCTCCAAGTCCCTATATATGAGTGTTATAAGAATGTTATGACTGTCTAGGATGTACAATCAAATTGGGGTCCAGGTGGCCACAGGCAAACGGAGATGTAAATTCATTTCTCTTTAGTTACATACCTGCACCCCAAAGCCCTACATAAGTGAAGTTGTGATGGAGTGGGTGGGGAGATGTAACAAGGAATGGGGAGAAAAAGGACCACCAACAGTGCAACGAGGCCACCAAGAGTGCACCCCCACCTCAACAGAGGAGCCAACCAGCCCACTCAGCACAACCCCCGAAACAGTTGAGGACCACACAAAGGAGGACTCACCACCAACATGCCCAACACCCCCGAATCCCATAAACCCCCATCACCCAAACTCAACCATCAGTCCAACACCAGACCACATCCACAGCCATACAAGCACAACCAAGGAACATACCCCAGACTGACACCGAGACAGCCAGCAAGCCATACTGGACCCCAACAGCAGGCCAATGCGCACCACCCAGGCAACCATCCAGCTATGCTGTACCACTCTGCTCACCACATCGCTGAATGGGAGGATGATGACACCGCCAACCATGGAGCACCACGGAGAGGCCACAGCACTCACCTCAAAGGAGGTAGCACCCTCCCCTTAGACTCAGAATCACCAATATTCAGGCCAGTTAAGTAGCAACTACTGAGCCAAGCCAAGTTAACTGCCCACCCCAGGTCAACACCACAGGAACAGCAACACCATTGTTCCTCCATACTTCCATGGGGACACAGCGAGAGCCATCACCCCCAGACCCATACCACCCACCAAGGGCTGCCCAGAAAAGAAGCCATCCTGCCCCAGCACCAAGCCCAGAGGAGCAATGCAATCACAGGGCCCAGGGCCCAGGGCCAACCCTGCCACAACCCCACTCGACTGCTGGATCAGCACCATACATGGCCATCCCCCATCTCAGCCCACCACATAGCAGAGGGCAAGCAAATTTCTAGTAGAACAATGGGCTTCATGCAAGAACATTTTTGTGTTGTTATACTAAATATCTCTTACTTTTGTTCATACAAAGGGCTCTTACGAACATGTCACGTCAGATTCAGCAAACGCTTCTATCTTCACGAAAGGTGTGTAAATGAGGAGTGTAAACATGATGAATTACACCTGTTCATATTCAGCTGCTCGTGCATGACGAGAGGAGATTAGTGTAATTACCACCCCAATAATACCATATAAGGCTGTGTTTCCTGCCTCACACACCAGGAAGTGTCCATTCATGAAAATGGCAGTGAAAAAAAGAACTTCATGAGTTCAGAGATTGAAGTTCTGCTCTCAGAGATTCAGAAAAGAAAATCTGTCATTTTTAGCAGCATCAGCTGTGGAATTAAAGGAGCTGCTAAAGCCAAGGAATGGAATGACGACTGCTGTTAATGTCATCTCTCCTGTTGGTCGTACAGTCACAGAAATGAAAATCTAAATCATATTTATCACTCTCTAGTCCTGCTCTGGTTTTCCTTTGGTCAAATATTTTTAATTTAAGCGTAAACAACTTTATTAAATAATTTTCATTTATTCAGAAGAAGAGCCACAGCCCGGGCCGATGTGCCGGTTGCCCGCCATCTCCCAACCCATCACAAGTGATGTGAGATGTGGTTCTGAAGATTCAAGAAAGCATTTAAAAATGTCTCCAAAATACGTCTGGCACTTCAGAGAAAATAGCAGATAGTCTTGCAGGCATAGCTGATGCTGAATGAATCTCAAAGAAATAAAATTTGATTTAAAAAGTAAGCTAATCTGTGTCTGAATAAAGCCGCCGATTATGTTCACTTCCTGTTGACCTCATTATATACCAAGACAAATTAAACTTCAATTAATGCATAATTTAAGTTGGTTTGTGATCTTCATATATTGTAGTGTTATAAAACAGCATTAATACAATTCAATTCAAAAATACTTTATTGATCCCAGAGGGAAATGAGGTGTTGTTGTAACTCATTTAACTAAAAACTTATTGTAGATGCTGATGGCTGTGGGCAGGAAAGATCTTCTGTAGGTCTGTATTACAGCGAAGTTGAAGAAGCCTCCGACTGAAGACACTTTGTCTTTCTATGACAGTCTGATGAAGAGGATGGTCAGGATTGTCCACAATAGCCAATTTAATTTCATTTAACCAATTTATATCGTTAGTCCACATTATTAAATTTAAAATTCTAATTCAAGCAGAATAGCCTATTTTCAACATAATTATAGAGTGTGATTTATTTTCAACTCAAAATATCTTCAAACTAATGAAATATGTGAAGAAAATCCATCTGGATAACAGCAGACTGACTGCATGTAAAACATACAACAGGTCTGGACCACTTGTGGTTGTTTGTATCTGAAAAAAAATCTAGAATACAACAAAACTGGTGAATGTCATAAGTTCTCCTAAATCACTCGTACGCACAACTTAAGAACAAATCTGTTCATACTAATGGTTCTTGCACAAGGCCCAGTGCTTTTAAAAGGACATGAAGAGATCTGTACTGGTGTGAGGATTTTTTTGCAAATAAAGTTAAATAATAGAAAAGTGTAAAAGTTTCAAAAAATAAAATACACACCACCTATCTCCTGAATGAGCTGAACATTTTGATTTAAGAATGGCCTAAATAGTACGAAGTATGCAGAAGTAGTTAGACTGAAAAAAAAAGAAACAGAAAAAAAACATGAAAACATTAGTGGGAAGGCTGAATCAGCATTTACACACTAAAAACTAAAAACCACAGTCACCCACAGAAACTACAGATGAAAATTTGTAGTGTTACAATAAAGACATTTTAACAGTAGATGGCTTAAATGCTCACTCTTTCAGCTTTTTAATCAGGCAGGGTAAAATGATTTATGTATTATACAGTAGGAACATCATGTACTACATGTACAAAAAAAGGCTCTGAATCCTTTTTTAAACCCCATCAGCTAAATCATGCCACTTCTTGTTAAGCTTTGTTTTATTCTGTCTTTGACAACCACCTCACACTACACAACATCAGACTGATCAATCAATACACTGCCCCACACTGTGGCTTTTGTTAGCAGCCTCTCAGGATCCAGGAACACACAAGCTCTGTACTGTTTGCATCCTTTCTTTTGGCCTAGAATGGCCCATGTAGTCCTCTTTTTGTCTGCCCCGCCTGGATTGATGGAATCTAAAAGTAAGCAGATTTGAAACGGATATTAACAGTAGGCATTTCAAACCAATAGTGCAGAGAAGCAAGGCACAAGGTTGAGAACAAACATTCCTTTGTGTCCAGTGGGAGCCTTGTTCCGAGAATGAAAGAGAAGATGCTGTGTTTTCTTACACTGCATATGGAAATGAGAATATCTACACACACATACACTTAAACTCTTTATGAGCTGATTTTGACAGCAAGGCAAGCTCACAAAGATTAAAAATGACAAAACATTACAGAATTAAAAAAATATATATATACTGTATATATATAGTTATTTTTTAAAATGATTTAAATGTTGTCAATCTGCAAACAATATTAGGGAGAAGCAGGCCTCAAAGTTTCAGATGAATTGATCCTGCCAGAGGCAGGTACCTGGGGTGTTAATAAAGGCTTTTCATTTACATTAGTTTTCATCAACCCCACCCTGTAGTAATGAATGTCAACACAGCCATACGCATWCACAGCCTCCCTCACTGTCCATATTTAAAATCAATCTAAAACACTTTTACTCATTGGCTTTTAACAAAACTGATTTTACTTAACTTTTATTGGTAGTGAGCTGTTTTATTGCTTTGTTTTATTATATTTTGTTTTATTGTTTTGAGTTTTTAATTCATTTATATTGTTTTGTATTTTGCTGTTCATTTATCATTTTTCATTTCTCTCTGTAAAACCAACTGTAAAATTACATTACTTTTAGCTGTACCAAAACTAAACCTGCAAATGTCACTGATGTCACTGGTGTGACCTGCAAGCGCAGAAAAAAACCATGATGTCACATTCAGCCGGCTGATGGTTTACAGTTAGCTAAACATGCTACTTGTAGCATATTGATTCTGAAGTTGCTGTTCAACCAGAGCTGATTAAATAATTATCTGACACCATGCTTTGAGTGGGCCGGTGCACACCGGTACACAGAACTACCACTTCTCAATTTTACCCCTCAGTGTAACGGAACTTAATTCGTGAGAATGATTTATTCTAGAACTTTTTCTGGTGTTGTAAAGCCTGGGTTTCCTATTTTCCTCTGCTCCCTGTACATAAAGCTCAGAACCACACAGATTTATTTACCGTTCTTTAACCAGGCAATGCATACATTCTGTTATGGTTTACAACAAAATTGTTCAATAGTCAGTGAAGCTAAGAACCAGAACAGGAGACAGAAATTTAAAGGTAAGTGCTTTTTATTTACAGGTGCAGGATAGCGGGTCATCAGCTGTAAGGAAATGAGGAGATGAGGTAAATACTTTGAAGGGTTTTGTTTTTTCAGAGATGATTGAATATAAATTAAAGTGTTTCTTTTCTTACAGGTGGAGGAACGGAGGAGGAATCCAAAAACACAGGTAAGTTCCTTTTTTAGGCAGCGTGGCATAAACATGAAGAGGTGTTCGAGACGTTTGGCTTTGGCAGGAGGTAATGATTGTCAAACCTGATTGGAAGTCTCTTTCTTTACAGGCACAAGGAGAGGAACTGTCAGCGAGGTAAATCCACCTTAGAAAACAGGACATGAAGGTAAGTATGTACAATATCTAAAACTTAGAAACTGAGTGTGGCTTGAACACTACCAGAATGGTAAGATGTATCAGCGAAGATCTTCTTCTTGTCGGTTTTATGGCGGCTGGCAACAAACTGTTAGTAGCATTACCGCCACTCACTGGTATGGAGTGTGGTTCGTGATGGTTTAAAAACATTATTTATCCTCTCTCTCTCTCTCTCTCTCTCTCTCTCTCTATATAT